ATGGGTAAATGCATCTGCTGTTCACGGATTACTGATCCGAATACGTCCCCCCTTCAAAACCTGACTGCCTGATTGAGAAAGCAGCGCCGAGGAAATCAGACGGGTCTTATGTCGTTCCAGGTGCTTCTGTCAACGCAAGTATAGTCGAGTTGGAGAAAAGAAGTGGAGGGGTCCTATCACCAAGACCCGACGTTTGGGGCTCCTGAAACGATGCCACCAATCACCCACGACACAACTCAGCTGGCACACGATGACAATGACAATATTTACCGTTTGTGATGTCTTGCGGAGACCTCCGATTGGTCTAAACGTTAGTGTTTTTACAAAGTTACCGAATTCATTTAAAGAGCCAGTCAAACTACTTCCGTACTCAAAGAGGGCTGAAGCCGCCTGGCTGCAGGTCCTTGGACGTCGTCAGTAGCATCACCGACAGCCGAGGCGTACAGCTGACCAATGAGCAACTCGCGCGGGATGGCGTTGAGTAGGATGGGGAAGACTAATCGGGGTATCTTGGACGCAGTAGACTGGTTTCCGCTCGCTTCGAGACGCGCTGCCGCTGTGACGTCGTTAAGAGCACTGGAGAGGAATTCCTGCGTCATTGTGGACAATTTGCCCTCGGAGAGGTCCTTGGGAAGGCAGTGCTACAGCAGAAATTGAAAGTACGACCGTAGAGCCTGTCACTAGAATCAACACTTCAGACTAGCCAAATTAGATCGCTACACACCTCAAAGGGTAGCTTGAGTAGGTCAGCCAGGGCTTGATTCTTCGGCTGTCGAAGAAAGTCCTCCAGGAGGTTGTCACAGTCCGCCTCCAGGGACTGGCGATCGATGAAGACCGCGAGGGAGAAGTAGTAGAGGCCAAATTTACACAGGTTCAAGGAGATTTGCAGAAGACAAGCTGAAGCCTGCTCCGAGCTCCGAGATGCTTCGCTGCGTAGAAGGGCCTCCAGCACGCGAACGGGAAGGACGTAGAGTCTCGAGGGAGCTGCTGGAGGTAGGTTTCGAAGGTAGCTAGGAAGAGGTCGAAGAACAGGAGTACTTATCAATGCATTAGGCGATGTCAGACAGGGCAGATTGCTTAATAGGTGTAAGATTCAAGGAAGAGGAAATCGTGGGTTTACAGGTTATAACGTTACGTAAGGGAATACAGTTCCAGATACCTGACAATTGACCTGTTTGGACGTTCGCAAAGTTAAGGGTGTCACATAACACGAAAAAAATCGCAAGTTTTCGTAAAGGTAAGAACTCACACCCCACGAAAACCGAGAAAACACGCTTTTTCACTCCCACTTTCATGTACAGAAGAGTGTGACAAAGGCCTGTGTCTGGCATTTAGGTCAAACTAGTGCCATGGGAAGGAAATATTTTTAAAAATCTGCTAGAACTCACGTCGCTTTATGAATGAGTAATTAGACCAATCACACCTCAATTACAACTAGCCAGCTGATTCAGTTTGCTAGGCTTTGATTGGTGAAAGATCGATGACACATCCTAATTAAAAGATCAACAATTTTGCGAGTTCAAATAACTAACCAAAATCGATCTCACGAATATTTAATTCAAGCACACTGTCACCATAATCAGAAGCACAAAGTAGAAGCGGAACTCACCACAGAAGGCGTATGATAATTTGAGTGATTGTGTTTAAAATCGACTTCTCATTGGTGTTAATCCACTGGGAATAGGCAGTCTGACATGTCGGAGAAAGAAGCACTTTTGCTACGACCGCCTAAAGTGGATGATGTAATGAGATAATACAGGATGTAAAGGCGTGAATAAGCTGGGCAGGCCTGTGGTTGAGGCAGGAATGATGATTCTTGTAATCGGGCAAAAAAACCAACAGATAGTTTGTCCCCAATTTTAAATGAGCTGGAGTTTATCAGATTGCAATACTACCTATAATACAGAGGTCCAGTCAAGCAAACTTGACACGTTAGCACCTGCACTGAACTTGACAAACACACAAATAGTTTGAAAGAACTCACAGCGTCATCATCAGAAACTCCTTTTTCACTAAAAATCCTGAAAGCTCGCAAGCAGGTACAGAGGGAATTTATACACAAAGGATCGCAAGACCGGTCCTCTTCAAGGGCTAAAAGTTGCTCCGCAAGTTGGTTAAATGTTTGGCGAAGATAATCATTCTAAAGTTACAAGAAAATGTTACAAAGGACAAGAAACTTGAGCCGCGCAACGCATGAAAGATGACGTACTGTTTTGCGTCGAGACATTGCACCCCTAATAAACGACTGGATGAGGGTAGCCGCTTTTTGCTCAAGATTACGACGCTATAAAAGATATTAGGCTAATATTAACTTCAAAAACTAATTTTTAACAATCTTTTTCGTTAAAATGCACTTACAGCTCTTTGCTTGCGTTCTTCTTGGGCTTTTTGAATGAGATTTTTCGGACCGACTTGCTAAAGAAACAAGGATCAGGTGACTAGCAAGTTTTAGACGCTGAAACCAATAAGTTGTGATAGAACAACCGCGTTTGAGGATTTTAAGTGTACATGAAAACGGTAAGATAATAAAGCGGGAAAAAATTAATATGTTTGGGTCCAAAATTTGAACTTCCGACTCTTCCTCCACCCCAGTCCTCATTGGTCAACAGTGGTGAAATACTTGCGGTAAGAAAGAAATATGCCATCGTTTCACCTTCTGTGCGCATTCAAAACTACTTAAATTCTAAACTACAAGCAAAAGAGTACAGAGAAGCCAAATTCGTTGATGTGTCGACAATTTCACAACTGATAAACGAGTTGGCTTTATGGATATGCAGGAAAAAGACAATAACCGATTTAAAACAAAAACGGCTCAAATAGCGTTTCTCCACACGAACAAATGAATTTATGGTATAGCTGCTGAATAGCGCGATGCAAATCATGCGTTATAAGGTGTTATCAACATGATAAAAGAATACTTTCATTCATTCAGCAAAAAAAGTAAATTTTGAGTTAAACTTACAACATAAAGCGGTCGACGTTTTGATCCATATTGTCCATCAAAAGAAAACATTAAATAATGCTGCAAAGAAATTAGCCAATAAAGCACCAAAAGTAGGCCAGAAGATCAAGGAGTGAAAAACAGCTGAGCTGTGTTGTCAGAGTCAGCGCCGTATTAGCTACAAAGTAAAACAGAAACGAAACTTAGAAAGAGAAGCGATTTTTTAACATTGCTCAAAATCTATATATTTGTGTACGTTTAAGCTAAAAGCATATTTGCTTTCAAAAACTTGTTTGAACAGTAAGATTCCCACAGCAAAAAAGGGTTACTGAACCGGCTCAAAATCTGTTTCAAAGAATTTATCATTCTATCGTGATGTTTTTCGGCTATTCCCAAAATTTTAAAACCATATAGCAAAAACGTCCTAAAAAATTAAACGTATTAACGTTTTTCTATGTATATGTCTTTTCCTTAAGGCGTAATTTCCTAAATTGAATTGCAATAAATCTCATCGACAGCTTAATTATGCAATTGGTATAAAATGTCGCAATTTTGGTCAAAATGATCACAAGCATACACAGAACAAGAAACGCAAGTGTAAGTCGATGCCATGATCTCTGTTTTTTAACTTATTTAGTCACTACTCCTGATTATAAAAAAATTAAATTTTCCTTGTTTTGAGAAGTAGGATGTTCTCTCATTTGTTTGCGTCATGGTCCTTGTAAACAGTTACTTTCAATATTATTTGCTTGTCAATTTATGCAAGACTTTAAACCGTCAACTCAAATTAATCTCACATTTCGCCCTGAAGCACTTACAAGAATTATAAATTAAAAATTTTTTGGCATCTACATTAAGTTTATAATATAAGTATGCGGTTCCGTGAAAAGATCGTCTACGGTCTTTAAAATTTTTTTTTCGAGACAGCCTGATTATTTTATGTTACTAATTCATATCATTTGCAAATGTACGGATCCAAGTATATCTTTGTGGGCAGTCATAAAAATGTTGCATTTTGGCCAATCAAGTCCATTTCTGTCACACGTGCATCATTTGCGCAATAGGAGTATTTGACGATGGTGAATGATTGATCTAATTTTCTTCAAAAACTGTGAGGACAATTTAAATTTTACAGCAAAAATCATGTGCTAAATGTGCAATATTCGAAGCGATCAAATTCAATCGAGACCAAAATTTAGAAAATCGTTTTTTTTGAACTATTCCTGCAAGCAACAGATGTGGTTGAATAATAACCCACAGTTACGTGATGCAATTAATCGAAATCCAATCCATTAAATATAACAATGACAGCATGTGCTACCTCATTAGTCACTACTTTCAATATTATTTTCGCAAAATCTGCTGTCTTTTAATGGTAAATTGTGGAATGATTGCAAATTAATTCCATTTTGAGAATCCTTGACTTTAATTGCATCATAGGCATCCAATTAGGTTAATTGTCTCCGTAAATGACTGCTAAATTTCAATTCTACTTTTAATTTTGCGATCAGATTACAAATCTTCTTGATTTATATTTCTCAGACAAATAAATTAAAAAATATTTTCTGATTATATATGCCCGATGAGATGTTTAATAGCCTCAAAAAAATTAATAAGGATTAAATTATTTTGCTTTGAATGCTTTTAATTCACTGATCTGCGTGCAAAATGCCATCGGAATAATTATCCTGGCCTTTGTTATTCGCTTTCTTGAATAATTTTCTTTATTCTAATCAATGTTTGGAAGAGATTTCTAACACTCAGACATAATTACCAATTTTCAGTTAACATGTACGCAGACGCACCCGTCATGGTGCTATTTTGCCAGATGCCTTGATTGACCAATCAAGTTGTCCAATTTGCATTTTTAAGAAAATTTCCGTTACACTCTTCTTCGCATGTCATACCATTAAATTCAAAGGTGTCACCCTCGGTAATATATGTCGTATTTGCATAACACAAATGTACTGTTTAGTCTAAAGGTTGTTAGTTTATTCATGAATGTAAAACGGTATTACAAAGAAATGCCAGGTGTTTGTACATATACAAAAGTGCCGAGTTACTGCTTCCTGGTTGTGGGGGCTGCGAAGTCAAGACGATGGTTAACACAGCAATGTTCGTCAACTTTGTCGTCCTCGCTGGCATTCAGTGTGCTTCTGCGTTCCTCTTCCACGAAGACGCGACTTCCCTCTGCCATCACGGCCACGACGTAATCCAGCAGCGTCTGCCAAGCGCTCTTAACGTCACCAGTGAACTCTTCCCCTAACAGACCCTCCCACGTGGTAAGAGTGGCTCGTTTGAAGACCTTGGGAGAAAGGTTACTAATATAAAATAAGTAGCGTTTCTTGAGTTGGGTTGTCTGCATCGCCGGTGTTGCTGCTGGAATCCCAGGGAATAAATAAAACCTAAGTCTTTTTTTAAATTGCTATGCAACGATTTGTGACTCCGTATAATTTTTTACATCTGCGTGTATCAATTATCGATTTTTGCGTACGTGGCGCGCTGGTGAATTCGGCTGGCTGCCATCAATTCAAATTTTAAGTATTGATTTTTAAAATCAATGAGTATAAAGCCAGAGAACGCGATTGTTAGGTAGCTGCGTTCACCTACCTAGCATATTTAACGAAATAGCTCACTCAGGTATGTCGTTTGCGGTATCGAATCCAGCAAAAAACGAATTTATTCAGAACCAATGGGCCTTTTGATGCAAGCGACATTTCACTTCGTTACCTTGAAATAGTCGGGTTTCATGTGAGGTATAGCTGCCTGACTGGCACCCGCAATGAGGACTGAGTCATAGAAACCTTCTTGTGGATCCTCCAATGAGAGAATGGCGTCGTCAATGAGGGACACGTAGGCCCGGCTGTACTGGAGTGCGTAGGAGCTAAACACGATCTCGTCATCCCTGTCGAATCTAGTTTAAAGTTGAGACAAAATTAACAAAGCTTGTTTATGGATAACGCAAGGTTTCACATTTACCTCTATTTATTCTTAATTACCGATGAATCGTGGATGTCTGTGATTGCAAGTATATCAAAATTCTAAAATTATATGTCGATTTGAGCTTCGTAGTCCTCAGATCTAAATACCATCATTTTGATTGGTTCACCGCCTATGCTCTATTCTGATTGGCTACAGTGGTTACTAGGGTGGGCGCCCAGTTTGACCCGATGTCAACACGATCAGCCATATTCGTTCAGAGTGCATGTCTGTACTTTTCACAAAACACACCTCAGTGACATCGTTCTTCTTCGGTAAACTCTTTTCTGAGCAAACATTGTCAACAAGGCCAGTTTACTTGGCGAAATGTACTTTTTCTGGTGGCTAATTTCCCAGCAGACTTGCTTCCTGTTAATAAACAAAACCTCGACAAAATCACACTATCCGCATCACGTGCAACTTACTTGTTCGTGATTGGTCATTAATAAATTAAATTAATTACAAGGACAATTCAATCCAGCCCACACTTAATACCCCGGTAACATTTTCAGGTGCACTGTGATTGGATGGATGATGCAGGATTTTTGCTACCTGCGGGCACAATTAGCCACATCGTGGAATCACAAAAGGGTGATCTAATTGCATTAAATCTCTAGGGCTCAAACCAATGTAATGTGAACTTGTACACCTCTGATTTTTGCCACAGGATTGCAAATGTAGGTCAAAGTACCATCAAAAATATCTTTGTTTTTTTAATAACCTAGAAATCGCGAAAGACAATTTCCGGAGTGATGCATTGACCCAAATTCCGAAACGCGATGTCAACATCACGACTTTAGCGACCACAATTTTGAGCCCCCGCATTTCACTTTGATTGTAGAAAGTAAAGTCGTAAACTGGACACTTTGTCATGTTCGTCTAATTTTAGAAAGAAGATTTAATGTGTTTACCCACAAAATTAAGTTAACTGCGTCATGACATCTCTCTGTGGTAAATTGGTAAGGCAAAGTTTGCACACTTGGGGTATTTTAATAACCCCATTAATGACTATTTCTGCGCAATTCTAATTTGGACACAGCAGCTGTCTGGCTGCTTTAACCCAGACATGAATTACAGCCTGATAATTACAGACATTTCCAGATTGGAGTTGTGCATTCACGCGTGGAGATCCAGTTGCTTTAAAGCATGGAATTGTAATCCCAACACAATAACATTAAATTCTTGTTTTGCCAAGTCTTTGAGAGGCCAAACGAGCTGCTTCGAAGTTTGTAGTTCATCAGCAGGCTGTTCTAACCATGTTTAATGTCAAATTTGAAAAAAACCTGCACTGGGCCAGCGTTCTCGTCACATAAACGTCGATTGCGTTGTCTGACAGTCGTTTCAATATAAAAACATGGGACAGCTCATTTCCTATGAGTCACAAATATGACCGCAAGTTTGAATTTTTAACATTCAAACGTTAAAATTTAAAGGCTGTTTTACTGATTGGTCTAACGTATTTGGGCTAATTCTTCTAACCTGAATTCTCATTGTTGGCAAAACTAATAAATCGATGCCCTGATAGGACATCAAACTATTACGCAAAAGTACTTTTCTACATTTATTTGCCTGATCTTAGTTGATCGTGTGGGCTTAGTCTTAAAGAAAGGAGCTGTCGGAAGTACGAATGCATTTTATCCTAAATATATTGGTTAATCTAATTAAAACAACGCCAGTCTAAATATCTAGCGAAATCACTATCCACCAATTCCGACTCGTCCTCCGAGCATTTGATTGGTTATTGTGTTGAAAAAAATAAGAAAATCAATAACTTTTCAGGTGCACAGTTTTACAGTGTTGTAAAATCTTAAAACCAGTATATTATTCAAGCTAATTCACGAGTGCATTATTTCCAAGTCTAGCAGCAGATATGACTGAAATTTAATTGGTCCTCTCCAAATTATCTAGTTTTGTGTGAAACAAACAAGAAGAGGCTTTGTTTTAAGCGAGTTCAAGTCATAACTAAGTTTTAAACATGTATTAGTGTGAAGGCAGGATTTTAATTAATCACGAATTCCACATCTTCAGCTTCACGCAAACAGCCACCTCCAGCCAATCACAGCGTTACTGCGTCACTGCAGCAAGTGAACGCAATAACTTATTATAAATGGCACCTCATTAAAAGTTTTCAAGTGTGAGTAGAATTTGTTTAAACTGGGCAAACTCATACCTGCATTTAAATGGCAAAGGTTTGAATGCACCTCAATGATGCGTGCTTTTTTGACTTACTCTACATTGTACGCCGCTTTCAATTCCGGGCACATTTCAGCCGCCAGACGAAAAATTAAGGCGCCGTGTTCGTTGGTGTACAGGAGCAGAGCTTTCCAGGTTGAAATGAGTACGTCCTTCTCGAACTCGCTAAAGTACTCATGCAGCGGTTGCCTCTTGACGACGGCAGCGTGCACGACCTGTTCGATCGTCCTCTGACGCGTGAGGGTTCTACGCGACGGCAGCAGGAGGCTTCCACGGCGTTCAACAGTACCCTGCAGCGTCGCGCCTCCAGCGAGCTTGGCACTTGAAGAGTCACAAGTTGACGAACTGGGAGTTCCTTGAGGTGTGTAGGGTCTTGACGAACCTGAGTATGAGCTCATGTGATGGCCGCTGAACTCACAACCCATCCTACCTGATGCAGACTGTGGCCGGACTTGACAATGCTATATCACAGTTATAAACCCCGAGGCCAGTCTGATTGGACCTCGCGGCTGACCAATCAGAAACCGCGCGCGTGTTTGTGAGCAGTGTGCGTCAGTGCTAGCCAATTCTATCATGGGCTGAAATTACGTTCAAGCTAATTACTTCGTGTATGTCCTTTCGCTTCGGGCTTGTGGCTAGCAATGAGTTTGTTACAAATTAGGAAATTCGTGCAAATAAAAAAAAACATAAAATTGGATATATTTGTTAAAGATGACTTTTCCGTCAAATGAAGCTGAAATTCTATTGGTTGATTGCAGAAGCTGGTACAAGACTTTAAACATAATTAGGATTTCCCGTTTTAACAAGCATCCAAGCGTTGTCGTGGTGAAAAATGATGCCATTTCAGCTGTCCAAATTTGCCCACTGTGCCTGGATTTCAGGATTAAATTAGGTGGGTTGCTCAGAGAACAATTGGTCACGCGGAGGAGGCCTACCAAACACCGAAATAGCAGCACTTTACGGACTTGAATTTTACAATATAACTGGCAGTGAAAATTAACCGTCTAACGGAGCTGATTTCTGACATTTGAGCAACCCGAGGCCCAACACACTCCCCCACTTGGGGGGGGGGTAGTAAGTAACTGGCGCCCTACAAAACTGACCTTCAACTGATCGGCCCTAACCCTAACCCAAGTGTAGAATTTTGTCATCCAAATTGTCGCAGAAAACGACTTATCTCCGCAGGTGTTTGCGCTGCCTGAAGTGGCACATGTGATCTTCTTGATTGACCAAATTTGCACGCGGTGCTTGGATCTCAACGTTGCTCAGAGAACAACCATCATCCGGCCACGTGGAGGGGTCTTGTCCAACAATCTGCCATCTCACATAGCAGCACTTTTATTTGATGCAATTCAGCTGCTGAGAGAGTCGACGCTTTCACTTCCATGATTCCAGCTTCCTTTTATCACGTATAAACCACCCGTCGTCTCAAACCGCTTGCATATTGGGTTCTGAGGTACTCTCAAGTTGTTGAAATCGGCGAAGTACGATCCATTTGCCACCATCTAGTCTCCCAGCAATATCCTCGGTGTTAGTCCACCGATCAACATTACTCATTGAATCACGGATGAAGTCACAATCAAGGCCGGAAGGTCACCCAGAGTGAAGTCACCATGTCGAAATCGACCAAGACGATTTGTAGCTGCCCTAAGAACGTGATCACATTCCAAATTAACGTCCTAAACAATGTTTGTATTGGCGAAAACCAATTTGACGCAACGACAGCCACGACAAGTCCGCCTAGACAGCGGTGACACAGACAACACGACCCGGCGTTGTAGCGCCCGCCGTGTGACATGAGGGCAAACGTACCTTCGCGATTCCAGCAATATCGTCGATGATGCCTTGGGGGTATTGCGGTGCCGATCCCACGAGCTAAAACAAGCAAAATAAAGCGATATTACTGACAGATCCGCAGACATGTCTGCGTAGGACATGCCAGTTTTCGAGGGCGCATACAATCCGGATTATTCCAAACATTGAACAGTGGAAATGACTGCAAGGTTCGGTGATGTCGTCTAGTAGAAGCGTCAACTGATCGCGGTGAGGAGGATGCGCGTGGAAGCACTTGTGTGTACACATCCCCCTTGATTCTTTCACTAACACGACATCAATGCGTGTCTTGGGAGCATTCGCGAGTAGCGAAATTGGACCCTAACAAGGGGACCACCTGGCGTGGGTTCG